TAACTACATAAATGTGGAGCATGTATGTGGTTTTCAAAATAGGTGACACAAACCTTTTGCATAATAGAAATAGTTCATCAATCCAAATTAGAGATTGCTACCAGATCTTATTTTTATTTCATCTTGTGGCAAACTGAAATCCTTAATAATAATGATCCTCATTATTATCTTACATTATCCTAATAATCCTTAATTACATTAACTGATAATGGGATTTACATGCCATTTCAGTCACATCTGTAAATATGCAGATCTTGACTACTTTGGTCAATAAGCTCTTTAGCAGAAGCTGTTTCAGAAGAATCTATTGTATCTCTAATATACTTTCTAGCACCATGACACACATAGGATCCCTGTTTTCTGCCTGAACTGACAGTTCTCTATTCTTGCCTATCAGTCCTTCCACAAAGGCTGCACAGAAATTCCAGTCGTGTGAGTTACACGAAAGGTCAATCTCATTTATGTAATAGCCAACTGAGAAGTAGTGCTACAGTATCTTGCCAGCTACAGTGCTAGGAAGATCATGGCACTGCAGTTTTGGGTTTTTGAAACAAATCTGTCAGACACATTTTCTACGAAGCAATGTCAAGCCACTCTTTAGCTCCAATGCTTTCTAGTTAAACATAATGCTATGCTCCATGAACACAGGATGAACTGTGAGTCTTTGAGTGAATACATACCCAATTAAAAGTAAATTGTCAGCCACACTTCACAGGGACTAATACTGTTTTAAACACCAGGTGTCACTGCAGTATACTCCTGATTCCACACCGAGCCTCCATTACGTTAAAGCTTTACTTTCAAGTGATGTCAAAGCTCATGGAGAACAAAGATGCTTGTACTTTCTGTTCCCAAGTGTGTGCATGCAGCTACACGATTAGCCAGAATCTGGGCAAATTGTTCAATATTTCAACCAGCCACATTTATAATTCTGTGTGGTTGGCCTCAAACCTGAAGTTAACCATAGTAATAGAGCTATTTCATGGCTGATAGCAACTGTTCAGAATGAAGAATAAAAAAAAAATCTGTGAAACGATTCTCTTGATAATAATGCTGCATGCATAATTTTTTTCCAGAAGAATAGCCTGTATTGGATAATATTCAGCAGTTACTTAATAAAAAAATTATATCAAATTGCATATTTTGAAGCTTCTTGGCCATGAATAAATGTTCAGTAAAAAGCAATCTTCTTTTACACTTATCAGATCCTGAATGATTTTGCATATGAAGTATTCCTTATTTTTACAAATTCTCTATTTGACCTATAACCCTGTATCTTTTGAGTATTAAAATATACTTACTCAGATTAAACATTAAAAAGCCATCAGTTTGACAGTGAACAGATACTGCTTGTCTATCTCTGTCTCATTTCTTCAGCCTCCCAGCCTGGCGTAACTAATACCTGCCTGCACTGTGGATTTTCCAGGAACCTGTTCATCAGTAACTACTTAGTATTAAGTGGGCAAAGCTGCTCTTTTCCTATCTGTCATTAAAGATAATGAGAAGGAAGGTGCAAGTCATGGAGACTGCAAGCTCCAAAAGGTTAGGTACTATTTTAGCCTCATGCTCTAGTGTACAAAGGAGCCTTGTTCCAGTGACATGCTTAAAAGATGACATTTCTTTGTGTTAGACTTCCATGCAGAATCTGTGTTACATATTCAGCAGTGGTCCTAACTCATCTGCCTCTGAAATGCTTCAGGATGCTCTTAAAAGTATTTCTACACAAATGAGTCTTGCTACTGACAGAGCAGTGCAGCAAATGGATGGGGAACATTACCTAGAGAGCATCTATAACAAAGGAAAAGGAATCAAATGCCAGAGCAGTTTCAGAGGATAATCCATGGGGCTGGTAATTGCAACTTTAAAAATGCTGAAAGCTGCACAACTTTGAAAGGCTCAAACCCAATGTTCTTACCTGCATTAAAGAGCACAGTGCCACTACATTCATGCCAGCCCCTGCTTTAGTCAGAGACAACTTTAAATTGGTGCTGTTGTGTGCATGCTTGAATCTTGACAGGACTGTGGCTTTGGGAGGAGTAAGGTGCTATATATCACAAAGAAGTCTTAGTAGTTCTTGTCAGATAATAAAATCAGCACAAAATTCCCAGAACAAACAGAATTCTATAAAATAATGCAGGTTTTAAGACCTGCAGGGTGAAGTGACTGCAAGGACTGAATAATATATTTGTTAAGAGAACAACAAAAAGAGGCACAGGTAAAAAAACCAACCAACCAACCAACCAACCAACCAACCAACCAACCAACCAACCAGCCAACCAACCCACCCAACCACCCACCCACTAAAACAAAAGACAGAGCTTATTATTGTGGTTTATTCTGTCTGGCTATTGAATTTATATATAGATTTTAATCCAGTGAATTTTGCCAGGATTTTTAAATTAAATTAATTGCAATGTAACATGTTTCCCATTTGACATAATTTACATGGATTTCCAATAAATTCAAGAGTTATTTGCAAATATAATAACCAGAGAAAATGGCATAGCCTCTTTTAAATACTTTCAGAGAATAAGTACAGAATCATATGATTTTTTTCTGCATATAAACAAGTAAATATTAGGATACTACTGTACATAAATAAAACTTGCATTTTTTATTATTGACCTATGTTCTTATTTTTAGATAACTGCTTCATATGTTCATGTAGCATTTTCCCCCCAGAAATATTTACATAAAACTTGTCTACATTTACAGTAAATAACCATAATTGCCTACTGTGCTTTCAGCAGCCAAAAGCTGAATTGGCTATAGAAATATCTGATGAAGATTCTTGGAACAAAGGTATGACTAAATGACATCAACTTGAGTATTCTATTACAAAATATTGAGAGGAATTTAATGGCATTTGTTAATTTACAAATGCAATTTAGTGTTGGATCTGAACTGCTCTAACACTAGGATAAGCCCTGCAATTACAATGAAACTACAATTTATGGTACATACTTTCTCCAAAATTACAGTATTTCAGTGTTTGCAGTGGAGTTGATAAAAATATTTTGATTTCAAACAGGTAGCAAGCCAAATAATCTTTCATGTTGCAAGCAAGCCTTAGCTAATGTCATCTCAGAAGTCTGCATGCATTGACTCCAGGTGTGTATGGCACAGTTGTTGAATCACTGAGCTGCTCTCACTGCCTACAGAGCTGAACTTTGCAGTATATTCAACTATATCCACTCTAAGATAGCCAGGACAGTTCCAAGCCTCTCTTTTCACAAGCTCATAGTGTTTTGAGGATGTTTTGCAGTTCTGTGTCAGTGATGAGAGACACAAATAGTTGTTCAGAAAACACTTTTTTGTTGCTAGAACACTATGTAAGAGAACTTTGCTCAGAGATATTATTCCAGTAACACATATTTTTTCCATTATAAAACAATGGATAAAATAAACAAAAGTGTCTGTATTTACAAATTCTTATCCACTATGTTCTTAGTATGCAATGTTCCATGTGTAAAGCAATTTTATGCTAAAGCTCATATAGCACCCAATTTTAAGTGACTCTTACTGAGGCATGATTTTAATAATTAGCTATTAGACCTAATTATCCATATAATTGAAAATTTTTGTTGTTCTTATGGAAGTCATATCCATCCACTAGTAGAAAGAAAATACATTTCACTGAAAATACAAACAAAAGTACCTATCACTAAACCAGACTTCTAAACGTTTAGGGCCCAATCCTGCAGCCTTGGCTCATGCAAAGAATTCTATTTAAATAAAGTATTCCAGTTAGAGTTGGGGTTTTTGTTCATTTGGGTTTTGTTTTTGTTTTTTGCTAAAAACCCCTTATGATGCAAGTCCAGATCTACACATGGTACTTACTTTAGTGCATTTACATTTGTCCATGTTGGGTTTCTAATATAACAAAAACATTATTTAGAATTCATTTATTTCAGTTCTGTTGATACAGAGGCGTGATAAAAGATAATCCAACTGCATCATGGTTGGGTGGTGATGACTTGCTCCTGCCTCTCCATATAGGAAGTACATAGGGAATACTGAGAAGAATAAGCAATTTTATCTATCTCTTGTGAGACTCTAAGCAACTCCTCCCTTTACTGTAACCTTTTCTACTTTAAAAATCTTTTGAAACAGGTTGTCTGTGAGATGGGGGATGTGCAAATGAAACTTGGCTATTGTTAATTTACCTCTTTCTTCCTAGCTGCTGCAGTGGGCTGTACCTGTCTTACCCTGACAGTGAATGCTCTTTTGTGGGTCTGAAGGTGGACTCTTAGCACACTTTCATCTAGAAAGACCAGTCAGACTGAGGAGAAGCAGCTCACATCCCCTTCCTTAAGTTAAAGGGGTTGGGACTGTGAAGCAAAGAGCCATTCCTAAGTAGTCATCACCACAGAGATGACATAGGCCCTGCTGGAAATAATGCAGAAACTCAGGAACCACCACAGTGGCTCATTTCAAAGACTGTCTGCTGGTAGGATGTTATGAGGAGACTGGTTATGTGACACTTCTCAGTCTCAAATACAAAGAGCAAATTCCAGTATCCTCAGACATGTGAGAAAGCAGCTTCTTGTGCTCTTAGATGTCTCTTTAATAATATATACAAACATTGTGACAATTCACATCTTATATGTGTCTTTGAATGTCATGTGAGTGCTCGCAAGCTACAGAATTTCTTGCCTTGAAATAAAGTGAAGACCTTCACAGATACCCTCCAGACAGGATGCAATTACCTCAAAACATCTGAACAACTGAAGTCCAGGCTCCCGAATTTCACAGGCACATTGAAAAGGTCCCATTCAGAAGTGTTCATGTGATGCACTTTATGTGTCCTCTGTACAACTGTCATATTTCACTAAGGACTAAAGAGATGCTCAGATGGTGACAGCTGAACAAAGTGGGGAAGAGCAGTTCCATAAATAAGAGGGTAGTCTAAATCTCACCTATGCTGAAAGTTAAAAATATGAGTTAAAATTGTTCTCCTTTTAGACACTAGGAATTGAAACCATCAGCACTGTCTCTTCTTTTAAGTAATAAGATTTGTAAGGTTTAAGCCCCCTCCCCAATATAACAAGTTTAAAGGGGTAAGAGTTGGTTATATTGTTTTGTAGTGAACAGGAGGCATTCTGAAATCTCAAATGAAGCATTCTGTAGTCAAGCAATACTTACATACTTTATAAATAATCTAAGCCGATTGTTGCATTATCATAAACTATAAGAAACAACTGCTTTCTAAACAAAAAAAAATAATTTTGTCTTTTCTGTACAAATACATGCTAGTTAAAATTAGGCAAAGAATTTGCAAAGACAAAAACCCTTGTAGGACTGTGCTATTATAACAATAAACAAACACCACAAATGAAAGACAGTATTTAGGGATGTGTATGGCAAGGGAGCACCACATACAGTAGTCAAGTGGCTGTGCAGTACCAGTGAGCATCTTTACAGAAACATCCATATTTTTAGGCACTTTGTTATCATATTTGTAGTGACTGTCCTTCTGGCCAGTTTAAAACTGAAGAAACAAAACCTTGCAGCTTGTAAAAACAGAACTGTAAGATATTACCCATAGACTGGGCACAGACCAATGGGTATATAATGCAAAGATAATCTGTGTGTTTCTATGGAAATTGGGGGGATGGAGCTAAAGTATATCTACATTGTGTAGACACTCTTGCTGACCTTTGGATTATACGTAAATTAAGTTTTAGCAATTAATCAATGGGAACCTTGTATTACAAATAAGTTGTCATCTTTCTGCTTTCAGGAGAAAAGAATAGTGCCTACTGTATGTGATATCCTAATGCACTTCTGGAAAATCACCACATAGACAATGAATTTGTTTAATACATTTTGAAAGCCTGGGATATTTTATGCTGACCAACCAAGGGGGTTCTCTCTCCTTGAAGAAAGAGAACCCTGTACTTTTAGCTCTGTGATGTTCCATTCACAGCATTTATCTTTAACATAATCCTGAACACATGTTGCTTGCCAGCAAGGGATATATATTATACAAATATATTTTCTTTTCTGAGGCGGAGATCTGCTCTGGTAATGACCAGCTACCACCATCCCAGAAGAGATGCTACAAATCAACTTCAGCACCAGGATATGAAATCATATTAACAGTAATGATGTTCCCTGCTCCCAGGAAGAGACCTGCCCTTGAAAGTCTTCAGCAGACTCCAGTCTCCACCAAAGGAGCATCTGTCAGGCTAAGCATCTTTCTGCATTCTTCTGTTTTGCAGCAAACTACTACACCAAATTACTTGTGAGGTACGTAAAAGCCTTACTCAGGCATACTCCAACCTCAAAAAATAAAACTCATTTGACATAAATGGTTATTTGCCTAAGAGCAAAAGTCCCTCACTGGAGTGTGGTCCAAATTAAAATGTTTGTTGCAGAAACAGATTTCTTACAGTCACATGGTAAACAAATGTATTTGCACAACAGGAGACAGAAAAAAAGTCCTTGAGCTGGGCTATGATGTTTCGAGTCCCACAGTGCACAGATGAGAGTCATGTCTCTAGCGGCTTCCAAGCCAAGCTGCCTGGCCTGAATGGCTGCTTTTAAGCACCCGTGTCCAGCCTAGGCAGGCCTGTCACACGTGGTGACTCCACTCTGGCTGTGGCGAGATGAACAAGAGACAGGGCAGCACTGTCAGTAGCAGTCAAGAGTAGCACAGTTAATGCTAAGTTCTGGGATGCAGACAATACCAGAGAGAGCACTCTGTGTCACAGCTTTACATGTCAGCTTTCAGAAAGCACATGCAAACCATTTATCCAGCATCTTATAAAAGCACCATTGGAAGGTTGAACAGAGAGCACCGCGTATACAGAATTGTGTTCAAAACAGCAGACAGGAGCTGTTCAGGGAGCTGTTCATGGAGGAGCATGTAGCCCAGAAGCATCCCTGCAGGATGGATTCCTTGAAGGCACGATAGATGAGGGTTTGGAGAAAAAGGCAGTTGGTCATCAGCCAGTTGAAACTATGGGGATGACCCAACACTGGGTTACTCATGAATATGAATCCCCACACTTACTCATCTCTCACTCCATGGATCCTGCTACATGTAAGCAAGCCTGCAATTTATATTAATAGAAAGACTGAAGCAACAAATAGTTCATATGGTGACATGAACACCACCTCCCTGAATGCTCACTATTGTAAAACCTAGGTTCTTCAAAAGAAGACTGATAATTCTTATTGCAAAGCTTAGTCATCATAGCTACATTACTGGGCTTTTTAGTGGATGTTTGTGAGTGACTATTGCTATTGTAGGGTTAACTGAGGTCCAGTACATTAAATGTGTATCTATAAAGATGTTTCCAACTTGAGACTAGTAAACGTCAGGGTTGTCCCTTTGTACTTTTGAGTTAAACACAGAAAAGAGAATGGAAGTACTAGCTACTTTGTAGAAAAGGCACTATAACTGATATAACTGTGGTAATTAGGTACATGCCTGTGCTACAGGTATCTGCAAAGAATTTATTTTTCTCTGTGACTGAGAATGTTATTCTACACTCATGGTAGAAAAGGATGACGGATGACTGGTTTACATATTGGATTAGCATTGGTTTAGGTATGTGGTAAGAACAACTCTCATGGGAGACACAGATTCATGGAAGAGATGCCTGAACTGCATTTCCTATTTTCTACCAGTTCCCAGAGGGAAATAAAAAAGACCTTTTCACTAGTGCAGTTATATACACATTACAGCTTCTCTTGGTCTTTCTGTGGCAATTGGATGTGAGATCTTATTGTACAGTTGTGCCAAAAAAAGGAGGCAAAGAAATAGACTGTGAAGCTTTCCCAGAAAACATCACCAGGTAACAAATACTTTATTTTAGATGTTGACATTTAATTTAGGGATATGGTGAAAGTGTTAAAAAGAGCAGTAAAGAGACAAGTAGAAGAGACTCCCTTTTCTTTACAGTTAGATTAATCTCTGTGGGGATTAATGCTGGAAAAATCTTTCTATCAAATATATGAATTCCTTATATAATTCCTTAGTGAAAAGGAAGCATTGACAACAGCCATAAAGGAACAAGTGTTACTTCTGGGAAGAAGGAACTAAACCAGAACCTTGATTCTTTGTCAAGAAATGTAAATACTCACCAACCTCGGGCTGAATTCTAAAATATTTTCCTTTAGCATTAGACTACATAATAGAGATTTCAGGAGAGTTATGGACTCCCCTGTACATCCTTGTTCACGAGGGTAATTCTTTTTTTTGCAGCTCTTAAGTCCAGTGTGTGTGGGTCTCAAGGCTGAGGGCAGGTACACATCCCAAAAGCAGCAATCCAAAACGTGAACTGCTTGTCCATGAGACTGAGGTCTGATGGACCATTAAAAGGTTGTGATCAGCCTGAAAGTCATTTAAACAGGAAGGAATGTGCCACTGCCACAGGACTGCAGACATGGTACCAGCTCCCAGTGCAAGGCTGTATGAGACAGGTTAAAAACAGAAAGCATAGAAAGAAGAGAGGGGGAGGAGAATTTTTCTTTCACTGTGAAAAAGGGAAGACTAGGAGTCTCAGGAGCAGTTGTCAGAACAGAGGAAAGAAAGGACAGAAGGACTTGTGTCCCTTCCTACAAAGCAACATTTCTGATCTGGCTATGAAAGAAAATAGAATGACTGGACAGTCCTCCACCATCCTTTGACCTACTGGTCTCAATGGGTGTATTTCTAGAGTGATGTTTGCTTTTCTTCTTTTGCACCTTAAAATCAGTCAAGAATACAGTGCTATTCTTTGCTGTCAACTGACATTATCTCAAGATGTCTTTGAATTTGTTTTGAAATTTAACCTAGTGAACCTGGCAAACCTCATGTTCCTACTATTTCTCCAAAAGCAGTCATCCACATAAAGAGATAACTGCATCTTGAGATGTATTTGGGAATTTCAGGAGTTGAGGTATGCCTGCCACTAAGCTGCAGGAGTCAGACTGAGGACTACATATATAAACTGGTACCCCTGAGCAAGGAACAGACAGCAAACACATAGTTAAAGACTAAAAAAATTCTCCAGACTTAGCACAACAAATCTTCTGAAACATGGTGTATCTTATCTTTGGCCTTAAGCAGTGTGAAGTAGAAGGAGAGAACATTGAAAGGTGAACTTCAAGAATTCACATTCGAGGAAACGGAAACAAAAACTTATAAAGGAAAAACTCCAGAAAGCAAAACCACAGTCATCCTTAAAAAGCGTGAAGTGGAAGCAAAGGGTTTGCTGCAGCTGTCAAAACATGGCAGCATGGTCAAGACCAGGATGGATGTGGAGTGGTCTGAACTGCTTCTCCTCCAAGGAAAAGAGTCGTAGATCGAGCGTGCTGCACTGTTGCACAAGGTCAGGATCCATAAGGTTTGACCCACCCTGTGGGCAGAGGCTGCACAATTACACTGCTCCACAGAGCTGTACTACTCACAGGCAAAGCCTGTAAATCAGCACGCTTCTTTCAGTTCTGAAGCTATTTCTAATACATGTGTGTAGCCAGATCTATGTTTGCTCTTCATACCAAGTCATGTGGAGCACTGACCAAGGATCCGAGAAGGGCTCAACCATCAAAACCCAGTACCACTTGAGCTGAAAGTAAACCTGTTTTGTTTACTACAGAATAAGCCAACCTCAGTTTATGTACTGTTTATTTCAAATTAAAAATAAACTGTTCTTCAAGCACATGCCAGATATTATGTACGTGAACGTTGCCAAGCTTGAACTATAACTCACGCTTGTGTCCCAATTACAACTGTATGCTTATATACATGGGGCTATGTGCACATGCATGTCACACAATGCTAGTTCTTTACTGTTGGATTATTCTTGTACCATTGTACTATTTATTGTATTATTCTTGAAGAAACAAAGTACCAGTCCAGTACCTGCTTATTTCATCCAAGCACAGTACTTTGTTTTTCACAGTAAGAGAATAACTCGGCATTTTTGAAAAGCCAGTGGCTTTCAAACTGCTTGTCAGAGGCCCAAGAAGGTCTTGGTTGCTCTCCTGCTACTTTTAGCAGAAGAACAAGGAGGACCAGTGGCTATGCCTGACTAAATCCCTGTCTCTTTTGTCTCTTTTTTGCCCTTTGGCAGTTTTCTTTTACATAGACTCCATGATTTTAGCTTAGAAACAGCAAGGCATGTTCCATATCCCTGCTCAAGGAGACAGAAAAAGCAAAGAAAACAACCCCAAAAAAATTTCATTTATCTACTTTTGAAATTAGAAAAAAAAATTAAAAACCAAAACCAAATAGAGCCCAAATAAAGAATGGGATTCCTCCTGTTACAAACCCCAGTAAGTTAATCTACAAAAACTTTGAAGATGAAAAATATGTTGTAAAAAATAAAAATATTATCCACTCAACACAGTACATAATTTTTCCGATATAAGAAACTAGACAAACATATTAAAATATTTAAGTCTTTAAAAAGGGAAAATTCTGCAAAAAAATTACTCAACACTACTAAGGTTAGACTACACATTATGCCAATGCATTCATTTGCACAACTTTTTGCAACATGACAATGGTCTGGGGTGTGTGTATGTAGGTGTTTATGTCCATTTGAGGGAAACAGTGCAAGAATGCTGAAGGTGACCATTGCCATTTTAAAGGGATATTTCACAAATAATCAAACAAAACCCCTACAAATACCAGTACACATCTGAAATACTGCAAGTCACATTTTACAGCCCTTGACATTAAAAAAAAAAAGAAAAACGAAAAAGCCAGCAGAATTAATTCAAGTACATTTGGAGTCGGTCCCTTGTGAACTACTGTTGTTTGCACTTTAGTTGCAGTGAATGTGGACAGAGCTCCCCAAGCTCCTCAAAAAATGCAGAAGAGAGTGCATCTTCCCCAGCCCTGCAAAGTATGTCTGAGTTGAGGTACAATTATCCATGGTTTGCTCAACATCGTGGATGCAAAAACTTGAATGAAAAATTATGCTTGAAAAACACTTTGAAGAAAATTACATAAAATAATCTCTTAAAATAAGAAGCTAGTTTTGTGTAAAGGTAGTCTTTTTGGTACATAATCCTATCAGGATGACAAGCATGGAGCTCCTTCCCAAATTATGTTTGCCTTGGAGCTAATAATAATAATTGTGTTGTCCTGGTCATCTTTCTGACCTGACGTACCCTTTCCCACGAGCCTTGATCCACCACCCAGAAAAACCAGCGGGTGTCACACCCTGGCTGAAATGTACGTTGCTTCTTCACAACTTATGTTCCATACTTAGCTTTGTTCCTCAAAAGGAAAAGCACTTCCCTCTCCGTGTTTCACTTGTCCTTTGAAAATAACACCAGGGGAAATCTGCTGCCAAAGTGGTTAAAGTCTGGTGAATTCCCTGTGGTGCTGCAAGTCCCCTATGCTCTCATAGTCATTCTCTCCTGAAAGAGCAGAGTGGTTTGTGCTAGGCATGGACGAGGTCCTGTCTTCTTCCTGGCTCACTGACTGGATAGCTTCATAGTCCGGCTCCAGCTCCCCGTTTGGTCTGTCTGCTGGCTGAGGCACAGTGGTAGAATTTAGGGTGTTTTCAAAGTCCTTCACACTTGCATAGAGGCCACTGCAAATAGACGGGGACCTCTGAGATGCAATTTCTTGGATGCAGGTGTAAGGAGAATCCAGTGCCTTGATGGCCTGTCCCGGCTTACTCACCGATGAGTACATTGCTGAGATCTAGGAAAAGGAGACACCTGCTGAGTATGAAGCATGGCATAAAGCTTGTGCACCAGTCTGTACCTTTGTACTACTAGGATGTTGGTTATTTAAGAAAAGACAGGATCTTCTGATATAAAGATATCCTTTCTAAAAGGATATGATTTCTTCCTTGAAAAAAATATAAAAATTATTTCTTACAAATCCTTCCTTTTCTGGCATGCATTTATAAACCAGTTTTCTTTCAAAAAAAGAATGCTTTATAAAATAAGTTTATAAATGTAAAACTTCCTTGAATATAAAACCCTGGCGAGAAAATTAGAACTGGGCAAAAGAGAATGGCTTTGTGAGCAGGAGCTCTTGCAAGTTTTGCTGTGGTCCTGGAGTCAATTTGGACTCAACAGGGAGAGAGGAATCAAAGGGAGGATCAGATTGAACTGCTTCTAATGTAGTAGAAGGATGCTGTCTGATCCTTAGGGCATTTAAAATTATAATTGTTACTATTTTTAATGATAGTGGCTACTTTTCTGCTTTTAGAGACACTGCAATAGAAGAATAGTTAATTGTTTTTATAGACAGGACTAAATAGGCACCAACACACGTGAAGACAACATTAAAAATCTGAGGATAAATTACTCACAGATAATAGCAAATAGTGCCAATATTGATATGCTCTGTTGACTACACTCTGCCTACAAAGAAGAGCTGCTTCTCAGGCACTGAGTATGTGAACTTTAGACTGGAGACCGAAACCTCTCAGCTGTAAACAGCAGAAAGGGAGCCAGCATTTCATTCCTAACTAAGAATTCCCTCTGGTGAGGTAGTACACTTCAACAAGTGCATGAAAATGGCCCTTCATGAAAAAGTGAGGAGAAGCCCAAATCCACACATGTCCCTCTGCTCAGGGATTACCTGGGCTGATGCCAAGCACAGGAATCAGTCTTAATTCATTCTCCCAGGCCAAATGGATACTAGCCCTTGCACATGACAGATGGCTGAATTTCCCTGCAGGGCTCCTCTGGTACCCAGTATCACAGTCCAACATTGCTCTTCTATTACATTTAATGTCTTTTCCAAGCATGCAAGGCCACTCTGGGTTTGTATAAATCCAGTTAAAAGAGTATATTGACATGAAAATGTCCATTATCATTAGGCAACACAGACTGAAGCCCATGAACCAAATCACTTCTGATAATTTTGGGATTTTTTGGGTGGGTTTGTGGGTGGGGGTGGGTTTGTTTGGTTGGTTAGTTGGTTGGTTGGGGTTTTTTTGTTTTGGTTTGGTTTGGGGGTTTTTTTGTTTTGGTTTGGTTTAGGTTTTTTTGGGGCTGGTTGGTTTTGTTTATTTGTTTGTTTTAGAGGGACAT